TGGAGGGGGGGAGGGAGGGAGGGAGAGAGAGAGAGAGAGAGAGAGAGAGAGAGAGAGAGAGAGAGAGAGAGAGAGTCTTCAACTTCTCCCTCTGCATGCACACATGACACACGCATACTAGCAAATACACGTACGCACGCACACGCACACAAAGGGAAGGAGGGGGCGAGAGAGCGGCGCTCCGCGGCCGGGGACCATGTTTTGCAAACGCTTCTATCGAAGCTCGCTGGCCACGGCCTGGACCTCCGGGACGCGGGAAGCGCGGCCAGACCCGAGCGCCATGATGGTGGCTGCGGTTCGCAGCCCGTGTTCTGGAGGGGGAGCTGCAAATGATGCAATCCCCCGGCCGGCGCCCGAACCGCGCTCCCTTCTCCCGGCCTTTCTCTTAACGTTCTTTTTAGAGGCGCGTCGAGGTTTCGCGCCCAAAACATGGATAAGGATTTTATTTTATTTTTTTTAAGGTTTTCTATTTTCTAGTTCCTGTCTCTGCTCTGAGTACCCACGCATGACAAGTCTGGGACTTGGATGGAGGCCATAGGGACTTAAGACTTGAGTTTACGTGGAAAAAAGTGCACTTTCGGTTCTCCGAGATCCGTGTGTGGAGGACCCCACCCTTTCCCAGCCCCACGCGAGTGAAACCAGAGAGGCGACCCCATAGATGTCTAACCAGGCTCCTGGACCCCTTCCTCCCGCAGCGTCGTTTGCAAGATTTTTTTTTTTTTTTTTGCCTTATTTTTTTAGCCAGGAAGGAGGGGGTGGCAGGCATAGGGTGTGGCTCAGGTGAAAGATGGCAAATGAGAAAGAATCCGTACTTTGAAAAACAGATCAGGGATCCTAAATGAACTTCTAAACAAAACACCTTTTAGTCCAGAGCGCTACAAGAGCAATCGGTGTCTTCTGGCGACGATGGTGCAATGGCGAAGGCAGAGCTCCCGGGTGCCTAGGAAAGGTCGTTCGGTGCGGCCAGGGCGGTGGGCACACATACAGTGGCCTGAAAGGCCAACTACCTGCTGCCTCCCACAGATGAATGTCCACGGCCCCCCAATCTAACCCATCACGCCCCCCCCAAAAAAATCCACATTTCCCCCAGTTCTTCCCTGCCCGGGTCTGCGGCTCTGGACAGCCAAGGATTCAATGGTGGGGGGCACTTTGCAACGCAGGGGCGATCCCCGAGAGTGGCAGAGGCTCTCCACAGTTCCGCGCGCTGCGGTGACGGTCCCTTAGCCGCCGGCGAGCCGGGAAGGCTTTCGAAATGCGCGGGGCTGCGGATCATTGGAGCCCTGCGGTAGGGGTGGGAGCGGGCTGCTGCCCTGGAGGGTCCACGAACTCGGGGAAATCGGTCCCTTCGGGCAAGTGCCCTAGAGCTCTGAGGGCGGCGGAGCGTTCTCTAGGAAGGATCGCGGGCCTTCCATAGCGATTTTCATCGTCCGCAGGATCGATGATGAAGGAGAAGGGTTTTTGAAAAGTAGCCCTGCCCGGCTGCGCGGACAGAGGCGCGGCCGCTCTCTGCGGCCTGCGGGCGCCCGGGGCGCGGGAACTGTGCGCAGCGACCCTGGCAGTGCGGGACTTGCAAGACGCCGGCTACATTAGAGACTTTTGGTCCACAGGCCCCAGCCAGCCCGACTACGGAATTGCCACAGCGACCGGGTGGGATCGGGGCTGCGGGACAGTTCTGGAGACTACCGCGCTGTGGCTGAAGTGGTGGGGTAGAGGGTGGTGACGCCGGCGGCCGCAAACCCGCAAAGGGACGTTCGCGGCGGGCACAAGAGTCCAGGTCCTGGGAAGAAGGACCATTTGGACCATCAGATTGTACGTGGAGGCTTGACACAGACCTTCGGAGGACACAGTGACCTGGGCGGGGGTGGGGTGGGGGGTGAGTTCCCGTGGACATGCCTAGCGGGGAGCACCCACCTCTTCCCGGCCCAGCATTCCTAAAATGCAGTCTCTCAAAACACACATTTTAAAAGAAAAAGAAAAAAGCTTTAAGAAAGGAAAATGTGGTCTGTTCGGCAATAGAGGTGTGTTTTCCCATTTTTGAGTTGATTTTCTGACTCTTGGTCCTCCTGCAAGTCACCCTTTATATGTGTTTTAAACAGAACCACAAAAACACCTTTAGTCTTTAATTAAAATAATACCTACTTGAAGGATGTGGCCCAGAGACCAAAAGATCTATTTTTCCCATCCGGCACAGGAAGAAAAACCATCTCTTGCCTTATTTAAAAAAGAAAAAGGAAGAAAAAGAAAAAACCTTTCAGTCAAAAATGCTAGAACTACCTTGTTTATAGTCCCTTTTGGGTGTGGTGATGTAATCGGTAGTATTTCAATGACTAGTTGAACCCGAATTTAGATTTTTTTCACAATTTATCCATAAATTCTCTTATAATTAACTTTTACACTTTAACCACATTTTAAAAATGGGAGTGTGCTGTTTAAAGGATTACTTTGATGAACCTGGCTTTAAAATGTTCAGTGTTTATATTTTTAAGTAGATAATATGCACCCCTGCTGAGCATATATGAGGACACAAGATTCTCAGTTTAATATTTTAACAATTTTTTTGGATGTGTTAACTATAATAAGAACACTCAGAAACTGAGGGATTTAGGTATGACCAGTTTCATTTACCAACTAGTGTAGAATACACAGCAGTTTCTTAAAGACTTGTATGTTTGGATATTGTGGGCCAGACCTGTCGGCTGGGGGTCTGGACATGGATTTCCATCACTCCCAGCACTTCAAAAGTGTAAATAGAGAATCTAGAAAAGTCATTATATCACTTTCATTTTCAATACTGCAGATGTGTGATCAGACTACACTTATGTAAGGGATCCCCCCTTTTGGTTCTCACACACTCATGTCCTAGAAAACATAAATATTTGAACTAAATGGGGCCGGCTGACAGTCCCACATGAAACTGTGGCTTTTCCTCTTTCCACTGAAGCTTTGTCTACCCAGATAGGACTAGGAAAAAAAATGGCCAGTGCTTAGTGCATTCAGGAACCCCCCCAACACACACCCCAAAAAAAAAAAAAAAAAAAAAAAATCATCTGACTGAGACGTAGGCCTAAATTTTCTAGATATTTGTCACTTCACATTGTATTTGTGTAATTATCAGGGGCATGGCAGGCCGAATACCTCAAGCTCAGTAAAGCACATGACAGTTGCACTCAGGGAATAGCTACGGAAGTTATCTTTATTGATTGCTTGATGTGTAACAATAATTGGCATCTTTTTCACACATTACAAAAATTATACTTGGCTCAGTATGCAACCTTTTAAGCATAGCCATATTATTTAACAAAAGGGGGGGGCTAGTCTACCCAAAACAGCATTTACAAATGCACAAAACCTGCCACTTTGGCTTGTATATTGTCTAGATTAAAAAAAAAAAAATCTCTTTTTAACATAAATAAGTTAGTATAATTTTCAGTGTCTTTACAGAGTTATATACACAGGCACACTTCAAAGGTTCTCATACACAGGCAATGAAGAAACACTGTTTAAAGATGTAGTATCCATTTCACTTACTCTACAAGTGTGCTTTTTCTAAAAGCACAACCTCTTTTTCCTTTAAAAACAGCGCTTTCCTTGAGGCAAATTAACAAGTAGGATGAGAAACTTTTAATTAAAAATTATTTCATTATTTGTGTAAAGTTACAGACTTCTAAAGATATCCAGGGATTTAAGATTATTTTCACTGTCTCTACAAAGCTCAAGTGAAAAGAATACAGAAATTTTCTCAACAAATCTGGTGTGAAATGGCCAACTCTAAGAATTCAGAATTTCCTGTCATGCATACCGGATTTTTGCCCAGTATTACCTGGAGTGATTACTGCTGAACAATTAACTGGTAAATCCCAATTTTAAGGGGGTGGGGTGGGGGGAGGATAGTTTTTTTTTTTTAAGCCATTTGTTGCTACATAACACAATCTTCAGAACTCCCAAATAAGAATAAGCTTCATGTAAAAATAAATAGCAATGATATGTAGCAATTATTCAAATTTTGATTATTTTGAAATAAAGGATCAGTTTTTACTGAAAGGGACACTACATCTTTAAAGAAAGCAATTCAAACCCTCCCCCCCCACCCAAGTTGCTTCTCTTCATGCAAGTCAAACATTTTTCTCCTTGCTACAAATTGAAGCAAGTTCTTTGCATCCCCCCATCTGTGCTGCTTCCTCAGCCCCACCCTCCCCCCCCCATCCCTAAAGTTTTACGTGCTACATAGTAAAAGATAAAAACTATATACACAGGTAGTACAATGAAGCAAATAAGGAAAAACCTAATTGCGCAATGCTACATCCAATGCTTTTAGAGGCAGATGGTTTAAGAGTGCCTAAAATTTTTAGTGTTATTATGTTGTTGCTTTCTCAGTGCTTATACAGGATGTCCATTCCATGGAGTCAGCGATATGTACTTAAATTTTTTTCATGTATATCTTCCTTGCTTCATAAAGCAGTGATGTATCTAATAAACAAGGAAATATTCTTAATTCTGCAAGAGAAACAAAAGAATTAGGGAGAAGGCACTAGAATAACATTGTCAAAGAACAGGAATTATTTTGTTACTATCTTAGTTGGCAAATACTCCAGTGATGGGGGATAAATACAGGCGCTAAAGGCCTGATGACTACAACCATCTCTGAATTTGTGTTTTGCTCCGTATGGTGTTAAGAGTCAGGGTTCCTAACAAGTGGGCAATTTTGTGCAGCCCTCCCATGCCCCAGGGGGCATTTGGAAACGTGTAGGGACATTCTGATTGTCAAAACTTCGAAGAGGATTGCTACTGGCATCTGGTGGGAGAGGCCGGAGATAAAGCCAAACATTCTAAAATGTACAGGACAGCCTCCCACAACAAAGAATAATTTGGCCCAAAATGTCAACAGTACAAGGGTTGAGAAACTCACTCTAAAAAATCTGGGTCAAAGAGAGTGAGAAAGAAAAGAAATTCAGGAACCATAACACTTCAGAGTAGCTTAATTTCTTAAACTTGAAAAATACCTGAAAATGCAATTTCAAAAGGCCCCCATAGGGGAGGTTCTATGAATGCCCTTAAAAGTGTAACTTATTTATATGCACAATATTTGCATAAATGCTTTTGACTAGGGCCTTATGGCTGCTTGGTCGGCTCTAAACTGGTAATATGACTAACAAATGCCTCTTGATGAGGATGGGCCAGGTAAAAATCTAGGAGGCTCTTCTGAAGAGCTAGGCCACAAGTCCTCCAAGCAAACTAAAGCTACAGGTATGATAGAGCTATGGAGGGAATAATATGGAAAGTGGTTCTAATGTTCCATTTTCTATACACTCTGAAAAAAAAACCAAAAAAAAAAAAAAAAAAAAAAGCTAGATCTATAGGAGAAGGTGTATTATGACATTATGATTTACAAACACAACAAACCAGACCCTACTTAATCTCTATATTCCTTAATTTTTAAATTCCTACAGATGAGGACCTGGAAAGTTAACAATAAGTTGTTAAGATCTCTTTACATGCTGGGTTATGCATGGACTTTGGAAATAGAGACCACAGTCTTTGTTTATAAGGAGCTTATAAACTATTAATTTATGTCATCAGATATTATGAATAGTCAATCTATGTAAATTTGGGGCTGGGTTACTCTAATTAGATAATCAGGGTGATGAGATTTTGATACATGGTAAAATCCACACTGTGCTGACCCTCCAGGTCCTAATGTCTACCATCCATTTCCCGTACAAATATCCAAACAATCCTGTTTCAGCACAATTAGCATCCACAGCTGAGGATTACTTCCTCTGGCTGTTCATTTAACTTCTGCTTTGTAACCCCAGGGTTAAAATGAGAAATTCTGTGGGAGCTATAGTACTTCTGAACTTTCCATTCTAGCCTTTTTTTTTTTTTTTTTTTTTTTAATTCAAAGTTCCCTTCTCTCTCCAAAACTCACCAGCATACAAGGAAAGTGACAGCTTATAAAAGTGATAAAAAGATGCAGGGCACGGCAGCCCTATTCACACTCCTAATCAAATGTGAACTATGAGTACCTAACTTTTAAAATTTTAATGTAACTGTATATTTGTCATTTTTCCATTAGTCAAAATAGGTTCTATCACCTCAAAAATAGATTATTGGCTCAAAATGAACCTCTGGGAAATGGATTTTCATGAAGTGAGACTTGGGGGTGCCTCAATCCTTGTTTAGATGGGGAAGAAAATTGTCATTCCCGGACTAAGTTTTGGTGGGAATCATAAGACTATGACCTTCCTATTCTTTGGGGGCCTTGGTGACAAGTACTTGAAAAGATCTTAGGATACACTTTGCATTACGGTCCCCCACCAAAGGATTCCAGCCTTCCCCACTGCTAATTTTTTGACCTAGGAAAATAATTCCTCCTGGCAGGCAACTAATCTGCCAGCAGAACTGGGGTCTGCAGGCCCCCCAGGGAGCGCAGCCCAGCTGGGGTGTCAGTTTCGTGCTCTTCCTCATTAACCCACCGGAGCTGTTTGGAGCTGTTTACGTCTGGTGTCTTCGGAGGCCGGGCTTCTTGGGCGTCTGCTCCACAGAGCCAGCGTTCAGGGAACCGTCTGAAACATTTTCTTCTGTTCTGTTGGCCCTTTTGTTTTGCGAAGAAGAATCTAAGAGGGGGGCAAGGGGAAATTTTTTAAAGAACACACACAAACCATCTTTATTAGCGAGAACAATGGCTGACAGAAATTGGCCTAAGAGTCAAGGGATGAAAAACCCACTACCTCCACCCACGACCCCTGGACCGGTCATTCCCGGTAGCCTCTAACGACACAAAATGAGGTTGTTTCCACTAACAGAAGGAGTTTTCTACACATCTTCCTCGCCCTAGCCAAGGAGGAGGCAGTTGGTAAACATCCCAACTTTTGTCACATACCTACAGCTGGCTAACGGGGAGGAACTGCGATGTGTTAGTCTGGGGAAGTTATCAGATCTGACTATCTCCGGCTTCTGACTTCAAAATCATAAACAGGCCAAGCAGTCGGCTAAGGGGCATTTCAAATCTAAGCTTCGCACGGGCTCCCAGATCTAAGCAGAACATGCTGGAAAAGCCAACCGAATAGGGTCTAAGGAAGAGGTGCCACAGAGACAGACATTTTACGTTTTTCAAAGGGTCATTACCGTCTGCAGCAGGTCGCTTCCTCATCCCTGGGCACTGCTCCGCTAACCCCGCTGGACTGTCCGTCGGATCAGGCATTTGCTCCACCAAATGCCGGTCCTCAGAGTTTGCCTGGGACCCAATTGAAGGCACCGCCTGGCGGCTCCCGCTGACATCCTGGCTCTCCTGCGCCGGCACCTTGCAGGCGCCCTTGGGGGGGCGCGGGGGTCTGTAGTAGAACTCCGGCAAGCTGCCCTTGTCCACCTCCTGCCACTGGTATCTGCCTTCCAGGGGCTTGTGATTCTGAAAGTCGAAATTCCACTTGCGCTGACTCGCTTCTTCCATATCTCGGCAGTGCTTCTCCAAGTCCCGGGTGAGCTCTTCGTGATTGACCGGGCCGAAGAGGTTTCTGCAGGCGGAGGGCTTGGGGTGCTCCGCTTGTCTGGCGTCCATCCTCTCCAGGCTCGGGCTCCCGTTAGATACTCGTACGTTTGACATCTTCCTCCCCGGGCGGGTGTGGACCACCGCCTCGGCTCGCGCGCTCTCCGAAACAAAAAAATAATAATAATAATAAAATGAAATAAACGACAAAAACCGAACAAAAGCGAAACGCCCCGGCCGCAGCGCGAACCCCTCTTCGAAGTTCTGCGACTGCACACGGGGAATCAAGGGGAGGG